AAATTTCTAAGGTGGATCAGTTAAGGGAGGAAAAATACCTGGGAGATGGCGGTACAGTACAATATTTGTAGTGTTTCTATCTGGTAGTGGCCCAAAAAACCTTGGCTTCTATTAAGTCAATTGACACGTGTGTCTAGCATGTGTATATATATGACCCCAGCTTGTTCTCTGGTTTCTTTTTTCTAGGATGGCCGCTTGCTCAAAGCATGGCATTGCTTTCTCTCCCTCAAAAGATTGTTGTTTATTTTACCCCTTTTCAGAAATATTTTTTCACACGGCCTATAGCTTTTTGAAGCATTCATATTTAGTACCCCCTTGTCAAACCTGTAAAACCTTTGAGGGTAAAACCTATAAAGCTCAGATGTGTGGCTCCCTCAAAGGTATTCAGTGATTCTGATTAGGTATGGATAGGTACGCTGGGATGGAAAGAACAGGAACCATTCTGCGGCCGCCAAGGGTCATCCTTTTGGCAGCCCGAGAATTCCTGCCCCAAAGGATCAATGTGGGTTCCCTGAGATGGGTATTGGCAGAGGGAGAATGCATGAACAGGAAGGGAAGCTCAGGTGACAGACTGTGTTTCTATGCCAAATCTGCCAGCCTAGTGCTTCCTTCTGCCTGGGATGAGGATGGGGAGCAGCTACGGGTGGGTCTTTTGAAATTTTCTTTTGTTTTTGCCTGATACGTTCCTAGCTGTCTGGAAAGCTCAGTGGGTTAGGTCTCTGCCTATGGGGCCAGAAGCTGAGAGTTTGATTCCACGCCATGCCTCCTGCGTGTAGAACCAACCTGGGTAGCCTTGGGCAAGCTGCACAATTCCTCCTAACCTATACACCTTCCTCTAATTGTCTGCCAAAACCTGTGTGAGATTCTGAATCCCACATTTGAAAAGAACGGTATAATTTCCCCGAAAATAAGACCTAACCTGAAAATAAGCCCTAGTAGGATTTTTCAGGATGCTCCTAATATAAGCCGTACCCCCAAAATAAGCCCCAGTTAAGTGAAGCCCCACCCTCCACCCTTGTGCAGCAACCAGAAGATGACAAGATGTTTGTATTTAAAGAAATGTAGGTGGTTGTACATGAAAAAAAACAGCCCCTGAAAATAACTCTAATGCATTTTTGGAGCAAAAATTAATATGACCCTGTCTTATTTTCGGGAAAACAGGGTAGCAGCTCCTGCACTTCAGCCAAGGAGAAAAACATATATCTTGCTCAAAAATATGCATTTGTTCACATTTATGTACAGAAACTATTTGGCAACTGTGTTTTGCAAGAACTCCCAAAATGGCTGACAATAGATCCAGAAGGATAAAATCCATAAAACAAGTTTAAAACTTTTAAGGTTAGAGCAGATCAGGGATTTTATAAAACAAGACGGGAGAGGGGGAAGGGAAAGAAAGACAGGAGCTAAAATACTGTTGTGCCTTTTCTGTCATTCCGCATGCCTATGCCCACGCCAACCTCTTCCTTCACGGCGGTTCGCTGCTAGGATTTATGCCGAGATGTTGGTCCGTGCATTTTTTTTTCCAATTGGCACTGGAGCCATCGCAGATCGAACTGGTCTCAAGTCTTCGCGAAGGGAATTGCGTCGGTTCAGGAGCCGCCCTGGCGAAGGCGCTGGCTCGCATGATGCGTTGTAGCTGGGAAGTGGTGGTATGATAGCCAGACTATAATGAGCATGGCTAAATAAAAAGGAGGGGAGGGATAGGACACTGGTGAATCCTTTTATTAAGCAAGATACTTGTATTAAATAAAATACTTTTACTAAATAAGATGCTTAAATAAGATGTTGTTGTTTAGTTGTTTAGTCGTGTCCGATTCTTCGTGATCCCGTAGAACAGAGCACGCGAGGCCCTCCTGTCTTCTACTGCCTCCCAGAGTTGGGTCAGATTCATTCTGGTAGCTTTGATGACCCTGTCCAACCACCACGCCCGCTGTCGTCCCCTTCTCCTCTTGCCTTCACACTTTCCCAACATCAGGGTTTTTTCCAGGGAGTCCTCTCTCCTCATGAGAGAAGATACTTGTATGAAATAAAATACTTTTATTAAATAATAATTGTTTTGAGCCAGCAAGGCAATTCTGAGTTACTGAGACCCTTTTAAGGGTTTTCTAGTTCGTGGACACTCAGAAGTGGTTTCCCATTTTCTTCTTCGACTCCTAAACTCTTCTCATGAGAGAAGAGAAGATACTGGTATGAAATAAAATCCTTTTATTAAATAATAATTGTTTTGAACCAGCAAGGCAATTCTGAATTACTGAGACCCTTTTAAGGCTTTTCTAGTTCGTGGACACTCGTAAGTGGTTTCCCATTTTCTTCTTCTGGAAGAGCATCCCTAGGGCGGCGCAGCTGGCCCAAGACTACATAGGTTGGCTCTACTCACAAGAAGCCCAGTGGGGGAATTGAACCCCCAACCTCTGGCTCTACAGCCAGAGACCTAACCTGCCGAACTACCTACATGCAGGCAGGCAGGGTTGGTGGCCCGTCTGTCCCTGCTCTGGGAAAGGAAGCCAGAGGGAGGTTTTAGATGAGTGGGACACCCCCCCCCACCTCCACGGCTATGGGTCTGGCTGCCCTCCCAACAACCATACATCTCGAGACAGGGGTTAAAACAGAGCTTTAGCAGATGGCAGCAAAATCCTTCTTAGTGCAACATCTTTAGTCAGCCCACTCTGAAGCCACACCGCGTGTAACCTGTGGGCAGATTGGCTGGGAAGGATGGACAGCCTTCTTCTGAACAGCCTGACTTCATACTGTTTAGGACTGCTGATCAAAAACGGTGTCTGGGGCATTGCTCCGTAAAAGAGCCTTCAGTGCAGACAGTTGCATGTTGGAAATCCTTTGCATCTCCAGCAGCTGCAGGATCGTGGCTTTTATTTTGATTCTTAGACTGCCTTGAATTGGTTTACAAGGTTTTTAGATTGTTTTTAATATGTTGCATTGGTCTTACTCCCTGAGACCGCCAGGTATAGGGTGATTCAGAAATATCTAAAGAATGAAATATCTTATTTTCAGGTTGCAAAAGGGCATTAAAAAACAACAACCACCCTGCTGTTAAGTCAGGGAAATTCTGGTGAGCTGAGAAAAGACACTTTCACTGCCTGGATCAGTCGTGGCAATGGGTCAGGCTAACCCAGAGCCCAGGTTAAAAGGTTAAGTCAGTGGGGCTAGCCCTAAGTCGGTGGGCTCCTGTTGTGTGGGGCATGCAAAACAAATCTCCATCGGGATTGTCCCCCGCACCCCGTCCAACGTGTGAATCTAGGCTGAATGGGGTGGATGCCAGCTGGGAGCGATCAAGGAGCAGAACTGGTTAACGGAATCCAGAAACCTTTGGGGACACAGGAAGGAAAAAGCTTCCGGCAAGCGGCTTTGGATAAGGGGTTTAAATCAAGTTAGCGTTCACAAGCCTCCCCCACTCGCCCCGAGGGAGTCCAGTCACTGGCATTGTGTTTCCCTTCCAGAAGCCGAAACTGCTCTGCGAGGTGTAGATTTTCTAGAAAAGGAAAAACATACCAACATAGATTTGGAGTTGAGTCCAAGTTCAGTCACTGGAGTGACTTAAATCTGTTTTGATCGTGACTCCTGCGACCGGATTCCCCCAACCCTGGTAGTTAGCAGCCTGAGGAATGCTTCTCTTTTGGCCCCAAATCCTCCTGCATCGTTACGCCAGCGGGAGGGAAGTGGAGTAACTTTCAACGGCAAATTCTTGTGAATGCACGAGTCCCCGCATAAATTCCTGATTACATGCCATACGGTAAGGCTCCTGAGTGGAGATGGTTGAGTCCGTTGGCATTTTATTTCTTATTTATCGGCAGCCTTTCTCCCAATAAGGGGACCCAAAGTGGCTCGCCCTATTAAAAAGAATGCAATTAAAAACGTAATATGTTAAACATTTTTTTTTAAAAAAATCCAATTCAACGATACTCTGGTTAAAATACAATGGAATAATCAAAAGCAAGTAAACATTTAAAACAATCTTAACTTCCAAAAGGCATTCAAGGACTCAAATCATAGCAGTTAAAATATTGGCTGAGAAGATGGGGCTTAAGCGGTCAGAAAAAGGGCGAAAGAGAGGAGGACACGCCTGACTTCCTGAGGAACAGCATCCCATTACTTGGGAGCTACAGCCAAGAAGGCCCTTCCTCGTGTCCTCCGTCGGACGCGTTGAGCAGCCGGTTGGACTCGATGGCCTTATTCAAGGACTCAAATCATAGCAGTTAAAATATTGGCTGAGAAGATGGGGCTTAAGCGGTCAGAAAAAGGGCGAAAGAGAGGAGGACACGCCTGACTTCCTGAGGAACAGCATCCCATTACTTGGGAGCTACAGCCAAGAAGGCCCTTCCTCGTGTCCTCCGTCGGACGCGTTGAGCAGCCGGTTGGACTCGATGGCCTTATAGGTCTCTAGTCAGAAAAAGGGCGAAAGAGAGGGGGACGCGCCTGACTTCCTGAGGGACAGCATCCCATTACCTGGGAGCTACAGCTAAGAAGGCCCTTCCTCGTGTCCCCCGTCGGATGCACTGAGCAGCCGGTTGGACTCAATGGCCTTATAGGTCTCTTCCAACTTCAGGATTCTAGGATGGCCTTTTCTACCAAACCTGAGCCTGAAATTTTTAGATCCCGGAGGTGTTGCCTTTTATTAAAAAAAAAACCCTCAATAATTCCAAACAGGTAAGGTCCTCAAGCTCCGAAAACCTCCCACCGTTTCATTCCGCAGTTCTCTCTGCTGTGACGTAGCAGGTGCTCCGGCTGAAATTTTTAGATCCCGGAGGTGTTGCCTTTTATTTAAAAAAAAACACCCAATAATTCCAAACAGGTAAGGTCCTCAAGCTCCGAAAACCTCCCACCTTTTCATTCCGCAGTTCTGAGTCTCTGCTGTGACGTAGCAGGTGCTCCGGTCTCGTAGCGGAATTCTGCATTCAGATATGCCTCTGGCCCTCCTCCGCCTTTCTAAATAAATAAATAAATCTTCACAGAGATCCCAGAGAACAGTCCCTACGGCACCTTAGTCTGCTACTTATCGGTATTCGGTGATCTGGAGACCAGCACCATACAGCTGACTCTGAGCGGGATGCATGCCAGCTGGTTCTACCTGGATGGAAAAGCGGTGCGGCTGAACGTCTCGGAGGAGAAGGTGCTGGACAGAGAGGTGAGTGCTCCGCAAAAGCCGCCTTGCTACGGTGAGAGAGCATGGACTGCTTGAGAGGGACCTGAGCCACGATAGCCGTAATCAAGAACTTGGAAAAGATACTCTTCCAGGCTGTGGGTTGTGATGGATGATTATTCTCTTCCTCAGCACGGTCAGCACCCCTGTGTGTATCAGTTGCTGAGGGTCATGAGCGGGAGGGTGCAGTTCGGGTGGTCAGCTGCTGAAGGACTACCTTCTCTTTGAAGGAATCCTCCATTTCAAGGGTTCCAAGGTTGATTTAAAGATAAAGAAACAGGGGAGCAGGGACCTCTTCATCCACAGGGAACAGAGCCCAGGGCAACAGACTTCAGCAGCATGCAGGCCACCCGGTCACACAACCTTCTCCGCTTGAGTGGAATGCATTGTGGCTCCTTTCAAATTATAAATGTCATGTCTAATTCTGCATCTGTGCATGGAAATCAGTAGAGGTGCTTTTATGCAAATCAGTGTTCTCTCTTGTCCCATGTGTTAGTGAGGTGTGGGTGACCAGTTTAATGAAATTACCTGCTGGTTAACTGGTTGGCTATGGCTGAACAGAAAGCTGGTTTAGGGTGTGACTACACAGCAAAAGAAATGTCAGTTCGCTTGCTCTGAAGTCATGCCGGCGAATTTGTGCTTCTCCATGTCTATACAATTAACTGGCCAAGCAGGGAGAGAGAAGGAAATCCTTGTTTGCAGCTTGTTAACATAGTTCTTCTGTAGTCCTGCAGGAGACATGGTTACAGGAGAAGTATCTAATAAGCTGTAAACAAGAGCAAAAGGACAATTTCCTCATCTTGTTTCCTTCTCTTTTTCTCTATTCCACTTCCCTTCCCTCCTTTCTTGCTGTCTAAGTGATCTAGCGCAACAGCGCTGGGACTAAGTTGTTTTAATAAAAGGAGGGAAAGGCCTATGGTGCCTGGAGGGGAGCAGTGGAGTGAAGGACCATACTGTTCTTCCTCAGTTCAAGCAGTCACACAGCTTGAACTGATGCCAATAGAGGCAAAAACTACAGATGTGGAGGAAGGGGGAAACTTCAGGCTGATTTGCATTTCCTTTAGTGTCATGTGGTCAGCGGAAACAAGTTGCAAATCAGCCCATCCCGATGCTGTAGCATTTCTTGCATTTTTAATCCCTATGGTCGCACCCTCAGACTAGCCTTTGGCCTCATTCAGCGGAGACCTTCCTGAGTGATGATGTTCTTATTTTGGGTCATTCAAGAAATTTTTTTTTGTCCAGATTTCTTGAATGATGGGGGAAGATGAGGATGTTGTTTTGCAGTTAGGCTGCAGCTGCTAGGTCCACTCTTGTAAGTGAACACAGGCCTAACCAGTGCTGTTCATTCACAGTACAGGTTATGTCTCATCTCGATTCCTGTGTCCAGTTCTGGGCACCACACTCCAAGAGTGATGCCAGCAAACTGGAGCCAGTTCAGAGGCAGACTTCAGGCTGATTTGCATTTCCTTTTGTGTCACGTGGTCGAGGGAAACAAGTTGCAAATCAGCCCATCCTGATGCTGTAGCATTCCCTGCATTTTTAACCCCTATGGTCACATCCTTGGATGAGCCTTTGGCCTCATTCAGCGGAGATCTTCCTGAGTGATGATGTTCTTCTTTTGAGTCATTCAAGAAATTTGTTTTGTCCAGATTTCTTGAATGATGAAATGATGGGGGAGATGAGGATGTTGTTTTGCAGTTAAGCTGCAGGGGAGGGAAAGAATGTGGGGGGAATGTAGGTTTGTGCAGGAGCCTGGTTTCTAAAATGTTCTGCTCATCCACCATCTCCTAAGATTTCGCTAGACTGTGGGCCAAGCCTCATTCCCAGACCCCTCCTTTGAAACCCCAGCAGGTAGACAGAGGGGGAAGAGGTCCCTACCCACCGTTCCCATCCAAAGCATCTGCTGGGTCCACTCTTGTAAGTGAACACAGGCCTAACCAGTGCTGTTTGTTCACAGTACAGGCTTCATCTCATCTTGAGTCCTGTGTCCAGTTCTGGACACTGGACTCCAAGAATGACATCAGCAAACTGGAGCCAGTTCAGAGGAGGGCAGCAAGGATGATGATCAGGGGAGTGGAAACCAAGCCCTAGGAGGAAAGGCTGAAAGAATAGGGCATGCTTAGCCTTGAAACTGAGAGGAGATAGGAGAGCATTCCTCTAATAACTGGAAGGCTGTCCTACAGAGGAGGGGCAGGAGTACTTTTCAAATAATTGGAAGGCTGTCCTACAGAGGAGGGGCAGGATCTGTTCTCAGTCATCCCGGAGTGCAGGACACATAACAGTGGGCTCGAGCGACAGGAAGCCAGATTTTGGCTGAATATCAGGAAAAACTTCTTAAGTTTTTCTTGGAACCATTGGTGGTGAGTGCTCCAACGCTGGAGGCCTTCAAGAGAAACGTAGTCAACCGCCTGGCAGATCTGCTTTGATTCCTGCCTTGAGCAGGGGGTTGGACTGGATGGCCTCGTAGGTCCCTTCCAACTCCATGATTCTATGATGCTATTCTGTGATGTTGCAAGGAATTGTGAGAGTGTGGGGCTCAGATCACACACAGCCCTTGATTCTCTGATGGAGGGAGATTTCCTAGAATCATAGAATCATTTAAGATGCCCTTTCATGGATCTGTCTGGAATATGGGGGAGTTCAGGCCAAGAAAAAGAAGGAAGGAAGCAAAGGAGAGAAGGTTCTGGCCTTGCAGGGGTCCACGTTGGGTTCTCCAGAGCAGAGGGCAGGAGATGGCTGCTTTTTTGAAGTTCTACCAAGCCCCGTGTCTACCCTCTGTGAGGAAAGCAAAAGGGAAAGGCTCCCAATCTAGAAACATGCAAAATATATACAGTACATGGCCAAGATGAAGAAAGAGGGACGCAGATGGTGGAAGGGGTGACGCTGTCCTTGTTTTGTGTCCTTAGGCACTGGAAACTCCAGTTCTGATGGTCTCCTTCACTTGCACCGAGGATGGTTTCTCACCGGTATAAATCATTTTAATTTTCTTCTCTCTGGTAAACTGTGCTTTTGACATCTTTGGGTGGTTGCTTTCACCCAGAGTTCCTCCAACGTCCATAGTTGTGCAGCCTTACATTAAGTAATGCATTGTCTCAGTTTGGATTTGCAGAGGGGGCTGCTATTCTGATTTTATTTTCACGCGGACTCCAACCCTGTGAGGTAGGCCATTTCGGCCGCCATTCGGCAAAGGGAGAAGGGAGGCAGACGAGGAATTGCTTCCTTGAGTCCGTGGGAGAGGCAGGCTGAGGGCAGGGAGGTTGATGTCTGTACAGTTTGCATGGAAACTTTATGTCTTTCAGTGAGGAATGTGATATAAATCTCATTCTAAGTGATTTTTTTCCTTAATGAGACTTCCTCCTGCAGGAATGAGATTTCATGGCTCCCCAAAAAAACAAAGACCTATAAAACCCAGTGCAAGTTCATGCCTGTTATACTCAAATCATGTACAGAAAAGATGGGATTCTGCACAGGAAGGATAATAATCCCACACAGTGTTTTTCTTCCGCTGCTGTTTCTTAATGAATCCTGCAGAGAAAATATGCCATCCTGCGCAGGAATTGTAGTCATCCTGCGCAGGAGTAAAAACAACCACGGAATGTCCAAGAAATCTCATGAGATTTCCGCAAGACCTCTTAGGAAAAGCAAATCTTGCCCAGAGAAATCTTTTTTTTAAAAAACATGTTATTATTTTTGAGACATACATACCTACAGAACAAACAAAAACCTACAGACAATCAAGAACACTTAAGAACAACAAAACACATAAGCGGAGAGGTATTTCCCATACCAACTTATCTATTATATAATTTCAGACTACAGGAGACCTTATGCCTTATTCCCATACTACATCATCGTATATCCGTGTGTATCTACACATCTTATATTACATATCCCTATTTTGTATATCTAATTAAGTGTCTAACAGCCCAGAGAAATCTTATGGCAAGGGGGGAAAAGAAGGATTTCCCTCGCTCTGTTTCTCACAGAGTGAGAGAGGTTGTGAGGTTCAGACCCTTACCCCCCAAACCCGTCCTTGTGGGGTGTTCTTTTCTCATAGCTGTTGAAACACCCACACATTCCCCGAAGCCATTTCTCTCACAACTGTTGTCTGTCACAGGCAACAAGAATACATGACCAAGAGGATGTGAATCCACATCTGGGCCTCTCCTTGACCAGCGGCTGCAAGAGGGAATCTCTACCTTGGGTGGCTTGCCCAGAGCCCGGGGACTGCCCTTCCACTCCCCCCCCCAGCAAAAGATCCTAACCTGAGGAGGTAGGGTGAGTTTCGGGCAGGACCCTCATGGCCTCTCTTGTTTGCTGCCAGGTTGAATACCGGATCATAGTGCAAGTCATGAACGAAAATGACAACAAGCCACAGTTTCAAGAAGACACTATTGTGACGCAGAACATCAGCGAGGTGAGCCAGACGGGTGGGGGACAACGATGCTCGGGCTTCTTCAAGGTGGGAGCTCCACGTTAATTTTATTTCTTAAAAGAGGAACATTTGTTCTTCTGTACTCTGCACCCTGGACTCCAAGGAGGTTCACACACCACCTTAAGCTCACACACAGGAGATACGACCAAAGGTGAACACTCTGGTTATATTTGACCAGCCCTCAAATATCTGCTGATGCGGTGCGCAGATTTGTGATTTTGGTCCATCGTCCCCAGAATTCCCTAGGCACCTGCCGCCTGGGAAGTCGTGGGAGAGGTGGTTCAGGAGCGCAAATCAACACACATCCATCGCCGATCACCTCCCTTGCCAGCTTCGTGTCTGGCTGGAAAGTGAAGGGACTTTCTGAATGGACACCACAGGACGACCCGTAGAGTTACTCAAAGTTTGAAAGTAACATGGTACTGGTGTTGCATTTTCCTGCAAAATCTGCTTTTGGGAAGCAATGAGCGGGACCTGAAAATGTTACTTTTGGGTTGACCATCTCACAAAATTTTGAGAGTTGTCATGCAATGACAATAATAATAATGTTTCCAAGCCCTGGTTTAATGAAGTTATATTTCAGAAGTAAAATAATTAGAATGGACAATAAGGGTAATGTTTTCTGTTTAACCTCTGAAGTTCCATTTAAGGGCATTTCTAAGCCTTTTCAGACATTCTGAGTAGAATGTTTTTCCAATCCTAACATTAAAAACTTAAAGGAGTGAAAAACATGATTTATACCAAAATTGCTATACAAGTGTGTGTTGGTAATATTAACCCCTACAAATTGCTCAGGGTGTGTGTTTGCAATGTGGTCTTTGTGTACACCATGAATTACTTAAAAAATATTAAAAATAACCAAGGAATACAACTTTGGTTGTATTCTCGAAGAATTCTCGAGAATACAACCAAAGAATAATTTCTTTCTTTCTTTCTTTCTTTCTTTCTTTCTTTCTTTCTTTCTTTCTTTCTTTTATGACTGATGAGTGGCCAGAGGGAACTTGGAGAGCATCTCATAGATGAGTGTGGAATTGTGACCTTCCTCTAACACTTAAAAAAAGGCAACTCATTTATCTTCATTTATCTCTCCAAACTGCTGCTACACTGCAGTGGTTCAGGCAGGAACTCAAATTTGATACTTGATATTCCGTCCTGTCTCAAGAAAATAACAATATTTTTTTTGCACGTGTGCTTAGAAGAAACCAGTCCCTAAGGCTGGCTTCTTCTAAGTTTGGTTCTTCCAGATGTTTTGACTTCAGGTCCCATCCAGCATGGGCAAGGATCCTTGGAGTTGAGGTCTAAAATATCCATAGCAGTGGATTCCAAACCTTGGGCAGCGCTGGTGTTCTTGGACTGCAAATCCCAGAAACCCCGGGCAGAACAGCTGGCAGTGAAGGCTTCCGGGAATTACAGTCGAAGAACATCTGGGAGACCCAAGGTTGGGGTCCACTCCTCTAGAGGACCCAGAATCGAGAGCCATTGCTTTTACGGGCCCACATTGTTTGGACGCAGCTGCTCCCTATATCTCCAGAGGGAGAAGCCCCCCCCTCCAATGCTCCCCGAAGCTCCCCTTCTTCCTCCACCCACATCTCCCATCCTCTCTTCCACAGCTGGCTGCCGTGCACTCGGTGGTGTTCAGCACCCACGCGGAGGATGCAGATGGCGACACCCTCATGTATGTGATCGACAGCACATCGGTGAGTCCCCCCCCCCGCCGGGCACACTGCCCTGCCTCCTCCCTGGTCTCCCTTGGTCACCAAAGGCCGAGCCGCCGAGGGGCGGTTGGGAGCTGCAGGCTCGAGAGAAGAACTGCACCATAGCTCAGGGGTTTAAGGCCTCTGGCTGCAGAGCCCGAGGTGGGGAGTTCGATTCCGGACTGTGCCTCCTTGACAGGGGCTGGACGGGATGACCCTTCCAGCCCCGTAGTTCTAAAATGATGATGATCATCCTTAACCAACCACTGGATAGCTCAGGGGTTTAGGTCTCTGGCTGAGGAGCCTGAGGTTGGGAGTTTGGTTCTTCCTTGACAGGGGATGGACTGGATGATCCTTAGAGGTCCCTTCCAGCCCTGCAGAGGATGATGGGGCTGTACAAATTGAGGAGAAGGGAAAAGGTTTAGGCAGGTCTCCCCTGCATCCCATTGATTAGGTGGCCCCCATTTTTTAATTACGTTGTTTTCGTCCAGTGTATATTATGCCCCCTTTCCGTTCGTTCGGTTCTTCCTTGGCAGGGGATGGACTGGATGATCCTTAGAGGTCCCTTCCAGCCCTGCAGAGGATGATGGGGCTGTACAAATTGAGGAGAAGGGAAAAGGTTTAGGCAGGTCTCCCCTGCATCCCATTGATTAGGTGGCCCCCATTTTTTAATTACGTTGTTTTCGTCCAGTGTATATTATGCCCCCTTTCCGTTCGGGCGAGAGGTAGGCAGCTTTGTCGTTTCGGACACTGGTTTCCAGAACGCTCCCAGCAGCCAAAACTCCAGAGAATTCGGGACCTTGGAGTCAAAAAACACACAAAACTGCTCCCCTCTAATTCAGGCCCACCATCTTGGGGTGGGGTGGGAGAGAGAAGCAAATATTTCATAAAAACAGCAGCGAAACTAGTAACAAGTCATGCCGAAAACTAAATCAGAATGAAGTTCACCATGACCAGCTGCGGTTTAAAAAGAGCTTTATTCAGCCCCATCCAGGAATTATCTTTTTTTCTTCTTCTAATGCTATTAAAAGCATCAAGGGTAGCAAATGCCCGTCATGAACTTCTGAGCATTTTTCAAATCAAAAGGTGTCCCCCCCACCACCCATTTTCTCAAAAGTGCCATATGGTTTGGCTGATAATTGCTCTTTGCTTAGGTTTTGGGAACTCAGCCATTGCTTCTTTCCTGCCAGGCGGTGTAAGGGTGGGGTTTGCAGGCAAGAAATAGGAGAATGGGGCTTTGTGCGCCTTTCCCCTGCTTGTTGGCTTGCGCCAGCACCCTCGTTTTTCTTTGGGTTGGCAAAGCTGTGCCTGGGAGCCTTCAATGAGAAATGATGAGGAAGGGGGCAGAGGCTTCTGGTGGGGAGGATTCAAGGGTGAAGCCCTCTGGCTGTGGCTTCCTCCCTGTCCACTGTGCTCTCCACCGAGTGCTGAGTCAGAGCCTTAAGTCCATTGACCCCACTATGGCCAACTCTGGCTGGCAGCAGACATGGCTTTCCAGAAGTTCCTGGAGCTTGCTTTTGAAGTAAGGGCTCTTTGTCAGAGCCTGAGTGGCCTCCCATCCAAGTGAGAACCAGGCCTGACCCTGCTTAGCTTCTGGAAGCAGATGACGGCAAGTGCATGTGTTCAGGGTGAACCTAAAATGTGGTGTAAAGCAGTTTGGTTTCCACTCATCAGATGTAGAGTGAAAGGTGTCTTTCCCACAGAAAAGATGCCCTCTCGGTCTAAATGCCAGCTATCAGGCCCTTGATGTCCATTGAGCCCTATATTGCCAACTCTGGCTGGAAGCAGCAAAGTCCGCGCCGGATTTTCAGGCACAGTTCTTTTCTGCTGGGGGTTGAACCAGGGTTCTTCTGCCTGGAAAGCAGGAGACCCGCCATGACCTGTAACCCCATCCTCAACAGAATTTGGTTGTACAGTTTAGGAGCAGAAAAATGGGGGGAAGATACTTTGTCCTGAATCAGAGGTTTGGTCCATATAGGCTGATGGTACCAACTCTGAAGGGCAGCCGTCACTCTCCAGAGTTTTAAGGCAGGTTTATCTTCTCTCTAGCCCTGTCTGGTATATGCTCTGGTGGTCTCCCATCCAATGACTAACCAGGCCTGACTCTGCTTAGCTTTCCAAATCTGATGAGAGCAGGGGTCCTCAGGTCTAGACGACGGCAGATCCAGAGTAGGAAACCGTTCATCAGCCACATGTTTGGGCTCAGAAATCCAACTTACCCGGCCCAGCAGAGCCAACGGTCGTGGACTGTGGGAGTCAAGTCCCAAACCATCTGGAGGCCCAAAGGCTCCCCATTGCTGGTGGAGGATCATCTGTCAGAATCCACGGTACTCCAAAAGTCCAGCCTCCAACCCAGGACAAAAACAAGACTCTCCAGTCACATTGCTTATTTATTTCATGTGCCTTTTCTCCTCTCCAAGGGATTTTTCAGGGCTTCTCAGATTTTACTCTTGCAAGGGTCCTGGGAGGTAGGTTCTGCACAGGGACAGCTGCTGTTCATCTCATGGCTCAGCAGGATCCGAGCCCGCGCCTTCCCCAGCCTCCTCGGACACCCTCCGATGCTGGAAAGGAAACAAAGTCCAGGAGGAGACTTGCCATCTTATGGCCGGCGCCTCCCTTCGGCTTGGCTGGCTCCCCTGGCACGGCCACGCTCCGCTGTGCCCTGAGGCTTTTAGTGGCGGCCACTCCGCCTTCCTCCCGGATTTCCTCCATGGCAACGCGCAATGGATGAGCCAATGGGAGACGTCCCAAGCAGGCCCCTGTGCGTGGGTGTGAGATTAGCCAGGAAGCAAGGACATGGCAGTGTGGGTGTGGGTGTGGATTATGGGAGTACGTGTGCAAAGCGAAACACAGGGGGGATTTGCAGGGCCAAGGGTGAGGAAGGGAGCAGCACCTTTGGCAGAGGGACGAGCATCGAGGATCCAGCAGGACTTTGCGCTCCTTGCCCTGCGTGGGCGACTGATGCGCCTCCTTGAGTCCTTCTGCTTCTCTTTTGACCTCCAGGCGGACGCCAGGTACTTCCGGATTGACCTACCCAACAGCGGCAAGATCGTCCTGGCCAGAACGTTGGATTTCGAGATCAAGAGGCACTTGGAATTCGTGGTTCACGCTGTGGTGAGGAAGGAAATGTGATGGGTTTTCCTCTGCACAGGATAGGCTCCTAGTCCTTACCTGGAGCTTTCAAAATTCAACTCCCAGAATCCTCCAGGCAGCATGGCCACCTTGCAGTGGTCCCCAGCCTTGGGCCTCCAGATGTTTTTAGACTACAACTCCCAGAAGCCTTCACCATCACCTCTGCTGCCCAGGATTTCTGGGAGTTGAAGTCCAAGAACATCTGGAGGCCCAAGTTTGGAGACAACTGATCCAGAGGAGTAGCTGTCTAAGCTCTGGACCTCCCCATGGCCACATCCATCATTGCCTCTCCATCCCGAGTAGTGGTTCCCAGTTTTGGGTCCCCAGATGTTCTTGGACTTCAGCTCCCAGAAATCCTGGCCAGCACAGTGAGTGGCAAAGGCTTCTGGGAGTTTTAGTCCAAGAACATCTGGGGACCCCAGGTTGGGAGCTATTGCCATGGAGAGAACGACTTCAGTGGAGAGAACCCTCTTCTGCAGTCTATCCTCAGCCCAGTTGGCTAGCTAAGGAGAGACGCGTTGGGGAAAAAGAGCTCATGGTCTTGTCCAGGGCCTTCTTGCTGGGGGGTCTTATCCTGTACTATGTGGAAGATATCCGTGAAGATGCTTAGTCATCCAGCTGAGGTTATCTGGAAGCTGAGTCATGGCAACTGGACTTCTTTCTTGTTAGGCTGAAACGTTTCACTACTCTCCCAAGCAGCTTCTTCAGTCTGAGTTGGTAGGAGGTCCCTGATAGACCCTCCCCATTGGTTTCACTTCCCCCTGGTCTGAATAGGCTCATTAGAAGGACAAAGGACAGGGAGTGAGGGATAATCCCACTTCTGCAGTCCTTCTCCACTCATTGTCCTGGGTCGTTAACAGTCGTTAACAGTGGTCTTTCTGGTTAGCAGCCATCAACAGCCCATGACAATGGGTGGAGAAGGACTGGAGAAGTGGGATTATCCCTCACCCCAAGTCCTTTGTCCTTCTAACATTCCTATTCAGACCAGAGAGAAGTGAAACCAACCTGGAGGATGTATCAGGGATCTCCTACCAACTCTCCTCAGACTACTCAGAGAAGCTGTGGGCTATGCCGCGCAGGGACACCCAAGACGGACAGGACATAGTGGAGAGTTCCGACTAAACGCAATCCACCTGGAGTAGGAAATGGCAAGCCACTCCAGTATCTTTGCCAAGAACGCCCCATGATCAGAAACAAAAGGCTAAAAGATATGACGCTGGAAGATGGGCCCCTCAGGTCGGAAGGCGTCCAACATGCTACTGAGGAAGAGCGGAGGACAAGTACAAGTAGCTCCAGAGCTAATGAAGTGGTTGGGCCAAAGCCGAAAGGACGCTCAGCTGTGGACGTGCCTAGAAGTGAAAGGAAAATCCAATGCTGCAAAGAAAAATACTGCATAGGAACCTGGAATGTAAGATCTATGAACATTGGGAAGCTGGAGGTGGTCAAACAGGAGATGGCAAGAATAAACATCGACATCCTGGGCATCAGTGAACTAAAATGGACAGGAATGGGCGAATTCAGCTCAGATGATTATCATATCTACTACTGTGGGCAAGAATCCCGTAGAAGGAATGGAGTAGCCCTCATAGTCAACAAAAGAGTGGGAAAAGCTGTAATGGGATACAATCTCAAAAATGATAGAATGATGTCAATACGAATCCAAGGCAGACCATTCAACATCACAATAATCCAAGTTTATGCACCAACCAGCATTGCTGAGGAGACTGAAATTGAACAATTCTATGAAGATTTACAACACCTTCTAGAACTGACACCAAAGAAAGATGTTCTTCTCATTCTAGGGGACTGGAATGCTAAAGTAGGGAGCCAAGAGATAAAAGGAACAACAGGGAAGTTTGGCCTTGGAGTTCAGAACGAAGCAGGACAAAGGCTAATAGAGTTTTGTCAAGAGAATAAGCTGGTCATCACAAACACTCTTTTCCAACAACACAAGAGGCGACTCTACACATGGAAATCACCAGATGGGCAATATCGAAATCAGATTGATTATATTCTCTGCAGCCAAAGATGGAGAAGCTCTATACAGTCAGCAAAAACAAGACCTGGAGCTGACTGCGGCTCTGATCATCAGCTTCTCATAGCAAAATTCAAGCTTAGACTGAAGAGAGTAGGAAAAACCACTGGGCCACTCAGGTATAATCTAAACCAAATCCCTTATGAATACACAGTGGAAGTAAAGAACAGATTTAAGGAACTAGATTTGGTGGACAGAGTGCCTGAAGAACTTTGGATAGAGGCTCGTAACATTGTCCAAGAGGCAGCAACGAAAACCATCCCAAAGAAAAGGAAATGCAAGAAAGCAAAGTGGCTGTCCAACGAGGCCTTAGAAATAGCAGAGAGGAGAAGGGAAGCAAAATGCAAGGGAGATAGGGAAAGTTACAGAAAATTGAATGCAGACTTCCAAAGAATAGCAAGGAGAGACAAGAGGGCCTTCTTAAATGAACAATGCAAAGAAATAGAGGAAGATAACAGAAAAGGAAAGACCAGAGAGCTCTTCAGGAAAATTGGAGATATTAGAGGAACATTTTGCGCAAAGATGAACATGATAAAAGCCATGGAGAGAACGACTGCAGTAGAGAGTACCCTCTCCTGCAGTCTATCCTCAGCCCAGTTGACTAGCTAAGGAGAGACGCCGTTGGGAAAAAAGAGCTCATGGTCTTGCCCAGGGCCTTCTTGCTGAGGGGGTCTTATCCTGTACTATGTGGAAGATATCCGTGAAGATGCTTGCTTAGTCATCCAGGTGAGGTTATCTGGAAGCTGAGTCATGGCAACTGGACTTCTTTCTTGTTAGGCTGAAACGTTTCACTACACTTCCAAGCAGCTTCTTCAGTCTGAGTTGGTAGGAGGTCCCTGATAGATCCTCCACCCTGGTTTCACTTCTCCCTGGTCTGAATAGGCTCACAAAGAACAGGGAGTGAGGGATAATCCCACTTCTGCAGTCCTTCTCCACTCATTGTCCTGGGTCGTTAACAGTCGTTAACAGTGGTCTTTCTGGTTAGCAGCCATCAACAGCCCATGACAATGGGTGGAGAAGGACTGGAGAAGTGGGATTATCCCTCACCCCAAGTCCTTTTTTCCTTCTAAGGAGCCTTTTCAGACCAGAGGGAAGTGAAACCAACCGGGAGGGTCTATCAGGGACCTCCTACCAACTCTCCTCCGACTGAAGAAGCTGCTTGGATGAGGAATGAAGCGTTTCAGCCCAATAAACTGTTAATGACACATGACAATGGGTGGAGAAGGACTGCAGAGGTGGGATTATCCCTCACCCCCAAATCCTTTGTCATTCTAACGAGCCTTTTCAGACCAGAGGGAAGTGAAACCAACCGGGAGGGTCTATCAGGGACCTCCTACCAACTCTCCTCCGACTGAAGAAGCTGCTTGGATGAGGAATGAAGCGTTTCAGTCTAACATGAAAGAAGTCCAGTTGCCATGACTCAACTTTTAGATATACTACATCAGGGGTCCCCAAACCCCCCACCCCCCGTCAGCTGCCCGGTGCTGGTCTGTGGGCTTCCTTGAACTGGGCTGTGGGCGCGGATCTCTGCCCCCCCATGCACGGCAGGCGTGTTGTGCTTTTGGGTGGGCATGTCGTGCTTATGGAGGGATGGGTTGTGCTCACGGGTGGGCGGGCACGCCCCTCCACAAGTGCGACATGGCCACCCATGAGCGTGACACACCCCTCTGCAAGCACAGGGCTGCCCCTGCCCCCCCCCATGCATGGGGTGGTATAGAAGTAGCACACTTTGCTTTTCGAATGTTTCTCTTCTGCTAAGGCCGAGCTCAGGGAGGCTGCTCTCTCTCTCTGTCTCTCTTAGCTGCTGGCTGATCCCCGTCTTCTCACAGAGGGAGGTCCTTCCTAGCCGAGCTGCTAGAGATCCCTTTCAGCTGGAAGGTTACCCCAGTCAGGCCGTCCTTCCTGCATTCAAAGCAGGCGTTCCGCCTCCAAGGGACGGCAGTATCGCATGTCTGGAGGAAGGACCAGACGAGGAGATGGTGGGAGTGAAGAGGATGCTACTCCCGGAACAGGGAACAGCTTGGGGGGGAAAAAAAGGCACAAGAGAAACTGGAGAGGGTGGGTGGAAGGAGATCAAAGTGACTCACAGGCAGGGATCCAACAGGTGTAGCCCCTGGACGAGCCTGAGAAGGGAACATGTGAACAACCATTTAATCTGCAGGCATTTGCAGGTTTGCCGTGGAAACGGTGGCGTTTTCTCTGCACCAGATGTGGAAGCCGGCCAGGCTATTGGTTAGAGTTTCTCTTTGGTTGTTATTCTCACGGCTGAACCTAAACCAGGATACATCATGTTTTAGGGGGAAAGGGAGCCGAGAGTTTTAAGTCGTGGCTTCCTCAGGCCGTGATGACACTTAATTTACAGCCTGTTTTATGCTTCTGTTTGAATGAGGTGGCTGCACCAAAACCACGGGTTCTTTCCATAGCTCGTGAGCCCCCCTTCCTTTAATCCTGCCCTCTCCCAATCCCTAGCTCTCCTTTTATGGTTCATTTTAAAGCTCTGATGTTTAGCATGTTGCACGGCATTAAGGAGAAGGAACCATTTTCCAAAATTCTCCCCCATGTACAAAACAGAGTCATACATACAGCGGAAAAATACGGTAACATCGGCTGTAGTTCATTGGAGTTATTTCTTTTTCCGTTTATTTATTGGAAAGATTTTTACCCTGCTTTGCTCCTTAAAAGGAGATTGATTTTTATTTTGTACTGATTTTTTTTTATCTTTTAAAAATACATGCAGGGGTCACGTAGAGCTGAACTAGTATATCAACATAGCAGTGAGGTGATATGGCGCTAAACTCAGTATGTTTAAAAATGACCTCAGGTTGACTTGGGAGAAAGACTGCAGGGGTGGGGAGGGGGCATGTTTCTGTTGTCCAAAACATTGTGCCTAGTTTAGTATATCACTAGAATACTACACACCGTCACGCTCCCTCCCCATCGTTTTGGACAATGAAACTACAGATCACACAGGGAAAGGTCCATTCGAATTGCTTTGGGTTTTAAAAACTAGAAGCCCCAGTGGCAGAGAAAGAACTCTGTCTCGGGAGTAAAAAAATTCTGAATTCTGGATCGATTCCAATTGACCTTGGCATCATGTGATCAGGGGGAACAAATTTATCTGTGCATTTGCGAAGGCTTTCACGGCTGGGATCTAAAGGTTGTTGTGGGTTTTTCGGGCTCTTTGACCATGTTCTGCTGAGAAAGACCTCTATCTCGGGAGTAAAAAAATTCTGGATCGATTCTAATTGGCCTTGACATCATGTGATTGGGGGGAACAAATTTATCTGTCTTAGGTAAAGTTTCTCCTTGACAATTTGTCCAGTCATGTCTGACTCTAGGCGGCGGTTCTCATCTCTGTTTCCAACCCATAGAGCTAGCATTTGTCTGCAGACAATCCTCCGTGGTCACGTGGCCAGCGCGACTAGACACGGAATGCCATTACCTTCCGACCATGGTGTTATGCATTTATCTACTTGCATTTTTACCTGCTTTCGAACTGAGGTTGGCAGGAGCTGCGACGAGAGATGGGAGCTCACTCCGTCATGTGGATTCGATCTTATGACTGCAAGGTCTTCTGACCTTGGAGCACAGAGGCTTCAGAGGTTTAATTTATCTGTCTTAGATAAAAGTTCCCCTTGACAATTTGTCCAGTCATGTCCGACTCTAGGCGGTGGTGCTCATCTCCGTTTCCAACCCATAGAACTAGCGTTTGCCCATAGACAATCCTCCGTGGTCATGTGGCCAGCGCATTTGTCTGCAGACAATCCTCCGTGGTCACGTGGCCAGCGCGACTAGACACGGAATGCCATTACCTTCCGACCATGGTGTTATGCATTTATCTACTTGCATTTTTACCTGCTTTCGAACTGAGGTTGGCAGGAGCTGCGACGAGAGATGGGAGCTCACTCCGTCATGTGGATTCGATCTTATGACTGCAAGGTCTTCTGACCTTGGAGCACAGAGGCTTCAGAGGTTTAACCACAGCACCACCACATCCCTTTTATCTGTCTTACCCCCGTAGCCATTCCTGCAGTATTTGATCATGTACTTGTAGCCTAAGTCTAATTGAAGAATGTTGCTGTCGGGAGACAAAGATGGAGAACAAGGGAAGAAGGTGGAGGGGTTCTGTTTTTTTGGAAGCAGGGCAAACTGGAAGAAGAAAAAAGGGTCCATTTCTTGAACCCCACAGAATCATAGTATTGTAGATTTTGGAAGGGAATCCCAAGGGGGCACTGAGCCCAGCGGACTGCCTGGAAGTCCACAGCTCCTGACTCTCTAAGAAGCGGCCCTCCAACTTCTGTTGAAGAACCTCCAGTGAATCTGAAGAACCTCCAGATTCAGAGGGTTCACTACGCTCTGCCTCTGCACCCGTCTCATCACCGTTCTTTCCCTTACCTTACAGGGAGAAGCAACTGTCAAGCATAAAGAGAGACGATAGCTAAAGTTCAGAATAGCTAAAGCCGAAGCAATGAAAGAGGCACCGGGAGAGCAAGGAAGGGAAGGCAGGCAGCCTTTTCTCCTGCTCCCTGTGGTCTATTTTCAGGCACCCTCCTCCCCTCCCCTCCTCTCCCCTCCCCTCCTCAGTGGCTCATTATCAGCCGCCTGGGCCTCCCTAAGCCCTTTTTCCCCAGGCTAATTGGGGGTGACGTGATCTTGTCAGCTCCCCTTTCAGCATTAATGGCTTAAATCCCCCTTTTTAATTTCCCTAAGAGGGCTCATGTGAAACAGCACCTCTCCAAAGGTCCTCCATTCCCATTGCTCCACGGCTGCCCCATAACACCTCCCACCCACCCCATCCTGGTGTCGGGAACATTGATGGTGTCTGTGCTCAGCCCCCCCCCCTGCCTCCCCAGACTCTCGCTTCTTTTCCAAATATACATTCCCTCCCCTGGGTCTGTTCACCTGGTGCTGACACACCTGCCCCCCTGTGGGTCGGGGATGTGGGCTGCCCTCCAGATGGCAGGGCGCCCAGGAGCACCTGCTTAGCGGAAGGCGCATGATGCTGCAAGCCACACTTTGCTGGCCTTCGCTCCACTTGTGGGTGTGCGCGCTTCAGGGACACTCAGTCCACGTGAGCGAGACAGACTGTACTGCGCAAGAGCCCTGTGCATGCCGGGAGTGTGTGTATCAATGACTCCCGTGGATGCTAGCGCATCAACGACCCTGACACAATCCACACCAGAGGGGCAGTTCACACGAGTGAGGGCTGCGCTTCGGCCAACACCTGAAGTTCACACCAACTAAGCTTGGTTGGGACTGATTCCTGCGTGACCCTCTGGCTGAAGTGGGCGGGCCAGCTCAAAGATCTGCTTTGATGGTCTTCCTGCCTTGACCGGGGGGTTGGACTGGATGGCCTCATAGGCCCCTCCCAACTTCACTGTTCTATGATTCGAAGACGAGGGAAGTGAAATCACACCATTAGCTGTGGCACAAACTGTTTTCAAAGTTGGATTGTTTTTCAATTAAGAAACACACTTCTCCCAAACCGGAAAGGGTCCCCTACAGTCTCCTACCCAGGAAACGCCAAATGTCAATGGGTTCCCCGCTGCGCTTTGGCCCCTCTGTTCTCCGTGAGAACATGCATTTCTGCTCTCTCTTCCTCTTTTCTGGGCGCAGGAAGATGAAGGAGGAGCTGACATTGATGGAAGAAGCATCAATGATTTCAGACAGGGGTTCCCCACCTTGGGTCACCCAGGTGTTCTTGGACTGCAACTCCCAGAAGCCTTCACCGCCAGCTGTGTGGGCTGGTGTTTCTGGGCGTTGCCATCCAAGAATACCTTGGTGACCCGTGGTTTGGAACCGTTGACTTAAGAGGTGCAGGTGATGCCATCTATGGGAGAGAAGGACTCCATGAAGGAAGCCACAGGGTTGAGTTTAGAAGACCTGGACAGGGCTGTGGATGCCAAGGTCACCTTTTCTTAGGTCACCAGGCGTCGCACATAAAAGTGAGGATGAGGGTGGGTGCCTTTGGGGGTCGCTGTTCCTCCTTCCAACAGGCAGTACCTGAAGCCCGAGCGTTCTCTTCTCATCTGCTTATTAAGGCAGATGGGTCGATTCGTTCAGTTCATCTTTGTATACATCCGTGAGCTGGCGTTTCTGAAAATCAGTCCTATCCATTGCGGTCTCTTCCCTGAAACCCCTCTGGACCCTGCTTGCATGGCTGAGGCCCACTGTGTGGCCGTTCCCTTCTGATCCCCCCCACCTCTCCAAAGAGGGAGGGTCCGCTCTTTTAGGGATACTCTCGACCCTAACCTGGTAGGAAACATCCTCCTGGCTTGGTGATGATGATGCCTGATGCAAGGTGACCGACCATTCAGCTGCTCGCTGGACCTTTGTGTGGGAGAGCCTCTTGCATGATGACACCCCTTGCGGGCTGTTGAAAGGGGCCAGGGGACCCGGAGTGTGGGCAGAATCTTCTTAGACTACAACTCCATGCTGAAAAAGGGGATCAAGGGACTTAGTCTTAAAAACAACCTGTCTTGCAAGGTCAGAGGGGGATCAAGGGACTTAAAAACAACCTGTCTTGCAAGGTCAGAAGACCTGCAGTCATAAGATCGAATCCACGTGACGGAGTGAGCCCCTGTCACTTGTCCCAGCTCCCACCAACCTAGCAAAATGCAAAATGTGAGTAGATAAATGGGTACCGCCTCGCTGGGAAGGTCATGGTGTTCTGTGTCTAGTCGCGCTGGCCACATGACCACGGAAACCGTCTTTGGACAAACACTGGCTCTACGGCTTGGAGACGGGAATGAGCACCTGCCTCCTCTTAACTCGATCAGCCCGTCGCCAGGCCCAGCGTGACAGCTTCCGGCCCCTCTTGGATGGATCTCCCAGTCCTGGCAGCAGCTCAGGCTCTTTCATAGACTCACCTCTCGGTACACTCATGTCTAGAGATGGGTTTGAACCAGTTCATCCCAGTTTGTCCCGGCGGGCAGCGCAGGTGTGGCTGCTCCCCTAACCCGCTCGCTGGGCTGATCTCTCCCTCTGACCAAAGGGAGGGGCAGAGAAGTCTCGGTGCCCTTGCCCCCAACTGGGACATGAGCCATGGAGGCGGAAAAAGCAAGCAAGCTGGGCCTGGGGAGTGATCAGCCCCTCGCCAGGCCCAGCGTGATGGCTTCCGGCCCCTCTCCCAGTCCCGGCAGCAGCTCAGGCTTCTCTGCCCGCCCCCCGGCTTGACTGATCTCTCCCTCTGACCAAAGGGAGGGGCAGAGAAGTCTCGGTGCTCTTGCCCCCAACTGCGAAATGAGTCATGGAGGTGGAAAAAGCAAGCAAGCTGGGCCTGGGGAGTGACTGATCAGCTGATGAGGCAGGGGAGGGGGACGAACTGGGGTGAACCGGTTCGTGCCCATCTCTGCTTGAAACAAAAAAAAAACCCTTGTCACTTAGTGTTAAAGACTAATCTAGCTATTCATCTGGAAATAGCCCCCACCCAATAAATTCTCTGTGACAATTGATGAAACAAAGCAAGCTCATCTGCAAAGTACAGGAGGTGGGGGAAAGCTCCTGCTGTGACAATCAGATGCTTTTCAACCGTTAAGGGATTCTCGCTTCTAAAGATGGGTTACCTGTCAAGTACAACTCCGCCCTGAGAGAGGAAGGGTTGGTTTAATCTCCTTCTGACCCTCTGTTTATGCCGCTGCAGGAAATGAACACCAAGGAGAGGTATAATGCTTCAGCCAGAATCCATGTCAATGTAATGGATGGAGACGACCAGTATCCCCAGTTCTTGCCGTGCAACTTCCTGTCGCATGATGGAGTCAGCGTTTGCGTCAGCCCCATCTACACCACAAATATCACCGAAGGGGAGATCAAGGTGAGGAGAGGATGATGGGCAGGATGGTCTTCAGAACATGGTGTGCAGAGCAGAGCGATTGGAGCAATCATGGGCAAACATTGACAGAAAGCCAAATTTTTGGTTGAATATCAGGAAAAACATCTTAACTGGTAGAGCAGTATGATGATGGAACCCACTGACTCCTGTGCTGCCCTTTGGAGCATGCAAAGTATTTTTCAGAAATTCTCACTCACAAATGTATGTGGCATCATTTCTCAAACTGAAGTACTCTTGCACACGCACACATCCCTCGTGTGTATTACCCCGTGCCATTTCCCCCCCCTCCCTGACCGAATGGGTGTCTCTTGCAGACAGAGCCCCTCCACTTCCTGCCTGGCGCCATCCATGCGGAGGATGGAGACCGCGAGCTGAAGGCAGCCATTGCCTATTCTATCCTGTCAGGTACTGGGGGAAGGGGGAGGCGGAGGGGGAGGGTGGTCCGTTTGGGCACGATGGTCAGTGGGCATCCCTAGCAATTGAATATAGGTTTTATTCACCCGTCCACAGTCGTGTTGTAGAAGCTGAATCTTTCTCTCTCTCTCTCTCTCTCTCTCTCTTTCTCTCTCTCTGTGTGTACACTTATGGGCATGTGTGCTGGTGTCTGCCTGTTTGCATCAGCTGATGTGGGCAGAGGATGATAAATGTCTTCAAATATCAAATTTGCATATAAAAAACTTGACCTCTGAGCGCTCAGCCTGGAGGCAGGCGGTGCATCACAGCCTCTCCCAAATTGAAGAGACCCTTGTCCAGCAGGCCGAGGCCAAGAGGCAGTCCCGAAACCAGCCAAACCAGGGAGCTGGACAGGGGACAGATTGGATTTGTCTTCAGTGTGGAAGGGATGGTCACTCTCGAATTGGTGGTGCATCACAGCCTCTCCCAATTTGAAGAGACCCTTGTTCAGCAGGCCGAGGCCAAGAGGCCATCCCGAAACCAGCCAAACCAGGGAGTTGGACAGGAGACAGATTGTAGTTGTCTTCAGTGTGGAAGGGATAGTCGCTCTCAAATTAGCTTTCTCAGACACGCGAGACACTGTTCCCTCTATTCAAAGCAGGGTACCCTAGTCTCTGGAGACTGAAGGATGCCTAATCATGTGTAACTATAAAAGCTGGATTTGAAGATTGGGTCAGTTTGGATGTTAGATGGGTGAGTCTCTCTCATCTTCCTTCCCTGTGATGGACACAGGAGACAGAGAATGGTGCCATTAGTTAAGAAAATTTAATTAAGAACAAGATAAGAAATATCAGATTGTCTGGTTAGAGCAGTCTCTACCCAGCCTTGAGAGGGTCTCACTCCCTTTGAAGGATCAGGTTTCCAGCTTGGGGGGGGCCCACTCTTAGACCCAACTTTCTTTATAGAGGCAGAAATATCCGCTGTGGCCAAGGGTATCTTTTATCAGCTTTGGCAGATGGCCCAGCTATGCCCCTACCTGGATAAGAAGTGCCTAACAACAGTGGTTCAGGCACTGACAACCTCTGAAATAGACTACTGTAAAACCCTTGATGTAGGGCTGCCCTTGGCGTCAGAAGGGAAACCTCAGCAGGTCCCAAATGTGGCTGCCTTTTATTCATTTTTAACCGTTGTCCCGAGATGTTCCAATGTGTTTAAACTGGCTTCATTCTGCTGAAGTGCAGGTTTATTTAGCCAGTAGCAGGGTTTTTATTCAGTTGTATCTTGTAATTCTGTATGATTTTGGTTGTAATAATGACTCGATGTTTCGTGAATCGATCAGAGAGTGTTTGCACTAATGGAACAGTATAGAAGTTGAAGTAAGTAAGTACGTAAGTTAAGTAAGTTAAGTATGTAGTGTATTCGCGAAGGCTTTCACGGCCGGGATCTAATGGTTGTTGTGGGTGAGAGCACATTGAGGTAAGCAAGCAAGCAAGCAAGCAAATCAATAAATCAATAAATAAATGATCACTTGCCCCCCCCCTTTAATGACAACGATTCACAAATATATAAGATTCTGAGCTCTTTTTCCTGCTGATATTTTGCACAGAGACATAATCTATACCGGTGTTCCTCTGCTCTGGGGTTATGAAAAGAGAAACAAATCGATGTCTCAGGATCCAAACTTGTGGATGGATGGATAATCACTCCCCCCCACTTCTTTAATGACAATGATCCACAAATATACAGTATAAGATTCTGAGCTCTTTTTCCTGCTCATATTTTGCACAGAGACATAATCTATACCAGTGGTTCTTAACCTTGGGTTACTCAGGTGTTTTTGGACTGCAACAAATCGATGTCTCAGGATCCAAACTTGCTTGTTGAAAATCTGCTAGACTTTGCTTTCGTTCAGAATTTCCCTCGAGCGCCATGTGCCTCCAGTCCTCTCCATCCTCTTGCAGGGGAGCCCGGCATGTAGGCTGGGCTTTGTTGCTCTGAAGGAAGGTCCAGCCACTTGGCCTGGGCTCTTGGGTGGACACCCACCCACCAGGGCCAGGTGGCACCAAAGAACTCAGCTGTCTGTCTGCACGTCAGTCCAGAGAAGGACCACAGCTTTTGCACGGCCACTCCAGAGATGCTGGCGATCCGGGTCCTCCCACGCCTCTTCAGCAATTGCCTTCCTCCGGGGCTCCTTCCTTTCTGGCATGGACAGATCCGTCGTCCAGAGCTCCAGGGACATGGGGACAAGAGGCTCCTGCCACTGTCTGGTCCAGGGGCCCATGGATGGAAGGAGTTGGAGCAGGCAGCTGGCCCAGGGAGGGAGATTGGAGCCGGTTTGCACATCAGGGCTGGGCTGGGATCACACAGCACGTGGTGGGGAAGTCCCTTCTCTGTCCTCCACGGTTGGGTGCTTTATCCCTCCTGAGCCCAAGCTGTATGGAGGTGCTCCAAAGACGCCGGCTTCATGCACCTCTCTCTTTCTCGCCCCACTTCCCCCCCCAGGGACTGACCACGGCTACTTCCACATGGACAACCTGACGGGGGCCATCACCATGTTGCGGCCGGTGGAGAGCAGGATCCTCACCCCTCTGTATAGCCTCAGCATCATGGTGAGCTACTGCGGTTGAGAGGAGGGGACGTAAGAGGGAGGTTTTGGGCCACCGGAATTCCTTGGCACTGGGCGTCCCTTTTGAGATCGCTCTGGCAGACTTGGAGCGCTCTCAGGTCCCGGGCTCGGTTCCCTGTTGCCTCCAGTTCAGGGCGTGATCCTCACACAGGGAAATAGATCGCCTTCTGGACCGATTGCTGTCTCTTCCTTCCGCCCGCCTAGGCCTCCCAGGTGAACGACGCCAAGAAGTACGCAGTGACGGAGGTCCGGGTGAGGGTCCTGGCTGCCAATTATTACTCCCCCCACTTTGAGAAGCCCCAGTTCCAGGCCTTTGTCCACGAAGGCGAGAGCGTGGCCTCCTTGGTGCTCACCTACAGCGGGCGGGTGTTACTCCTGAACGCGGCTGACCTGGACTTTCCTGATGTGAGTCTCTGCCCTCCCCCTGACCCATGCATCCACCCCACCCCAGCTTTGCGCTCACCCCTGTCCAGACAGGACACGAAGGCCTGCCTGAAGCAGTGCAGATGCTCTAGCTGGAGAAACAGAGAGAAATGGAGGCAGACTAGACAGATATGTTGAATTGAGACAGGCTGTGAGCATCTGTTAAGCAAGAGGCAGCAGTCACGGAACACAATTGCGGACTGCAAAATTGGGTGTCCAGCTGTGTGCTAGAAATACTCCATCACATTATGTTTTGGGGAGCTCTATCTACGTCAGGGTGCCCTACACATGGCCTACTTTTGGTTTTGGTAGGACAGATGGCCTGGATCCAGGGAAATGGGAATTGGATCCAAAGTCACCCAAGATGGTTCGTTTCTAGTCTGGACTCTGAAGAATGACACTCCCCTCCCCTCTCCCTACCATGTCTTTTTGGGACATGTCCCAAGAGGACGGAAGTTTCTGTTTATCATCAGGTTCTCCTCCATCTCTTCTCCCTTATACGAAGAGGGGATCCCCTCCATTCTGGGAATCTCTTGGTCTCCAGCAACTGAGAACATAAGAACACATAACCTGGGTTTGTGCCTTGTAACAAGTGATGGCTGACAAACCGTGGTTTGCTAAGCCCATCTCTACTGACAAACCACAGTTTGTTAAGCAGCCCAAAGCCACTATCTGAACCCATGATTTGTTCTTGGCCTATTAACTCTGGCTTGTATGGAGCATGGCTTGTTGTGACCTGTGATCCAGCCACAACGGCTTGTCCCTGACTCTTTTCTGGCAGCTGCCAATGGTGAAAGAGGAGCGGGCAAATGGAGCAGCAGAGAAACTCTCCAGAAATGAAGAGTTCAGCTCAGTGGGGGTGGGGGTTGCCTGTCGTGTCGTTTGTGGCTTCACAAACCATGATTCACCTTGATGTAGAGAGCTGTCAGGTACCACCTCAAGCCGTTGCTCCCTCTAGCGTGGTTATTTTCTGCTTTGGTTCGCACGAGTGCTTCTGGGTGGTGGGAAAAGCTGTTTCTCAACCTTTCCTCCGGGCAACAGGGTTTCCCCCGGGAGCCTGCCTACTGCCTCTAAACCTCAATCATCCTCCAGTGTTTGCTGATCTCTGTGGCACCCAGCGGAAGATCTTTAGCCTCACACCTGCTGCCTGGTCTTTTATATAACTGGAGAAGTGGAGGATCTGAAGCTGGCAGGGCTTGCAAAAGTTACTGCTGTCCAACTGTAACTCCCAGAACTCGCAGTCTATGCGAAGTCCCTCAAGAGCACTGTTTTCCTGAAGGAAATCAGCTGTTTTTTCCCCTATTTCTTTTTCTCCAGCCCCTAAGGGGTGAGCCAGGGGGGTAGGATGAATATCTGCTCCTCCGTCTCATATGCCACTTTCTCCTCCTTTGGGTTTCCCCCAGGGCTTTAACCCCATGGTGCGCTATACCCTGAAGCACCAGTCAAACCACACACAGCTCTTCCAGATCACCCCAGGCGGACTCCTCATCGCCCGAGCTGACCACTTGCAGGCCCTCCAGCGCTACGCCTTGCAGGTAGGAGCTGGGAAAGACCATCATGCCGGGAAAGGTAGAAGGGGGGCAGGAAAAGAGGAAGGCCCCCATGTGAGATGGTCTGACTCCCTAAAAGAAGCCACCGGCTTGAGCCAACAAGAGCTGAGCAGGGTTGTTGAGGACGGGACATTTGGGAGATGGCTCATTCATGGGATGGCCGCAAGTCAGAGGCAACTGGACAGCACACGACAAGAGCAACATGCATTTCCTGAGCACATTCACAAAGCATGTTTTCAGATGCGTATATGGCTCTGCGCCCATTTCAGTCTCTGTTAAATCACATTGCAAACCTCAGAATGGAATGGATTTCTGAAAGAAGGGGCACTTCATTCCCTTTCCAGCCTCTGGAGGTGCCAAGCTAATATTTTCCAGGTGGAACGGTGATTCCACCATATTTAAGAGCCTCGTGGCGCAGTGGTTAGGGAACTGTGAATCCACCATATTTAATTTCCATTGGTGTTTTCCCCTTTGCCTCTCTGGGAGGCTGCAGGCTTGACGTTGGCACCGAGATCAGTCACAGAAAGTGGTTCGTTGGGAAGTGATCCACAACCTGCCCTTGCATAAGAACCGAGCAGATCCTAAAGTGCGGCTGTAGAGTGGGCCAAGAGTGCAGTTATGGCCCCATCTTCTAGACCCCTTGCTGCAGATCCTATGTTCCTCCCCCCAGGTCCCTGTACTTGGGGATACAAACTGGAGACAGGAGGGCTCCCTTCCATCATTCCATGGGAACGCCAGTTCTGGAGAGAAAAGTTTTGCATTTCAAGGCACAGACACTCAAGTGCAAAGTTATGAGCAGCAACTGCCTGGCCTGTGATTCTGGCGTGGCCTGTGATTCTGCTCAAAAGACGTAGAAGTGGAAAGAGGGAGGGGTCCTCCCTCTTCCATATACTGAGAAGGGTGTCGGTATGGTGATAAAGCGATAAGATGGAAGAAGTCCTAACTCAAGGTGCAATCAGACCGGCATTTAGCCTGCTGCTTGGTCTGCAGCAAGGACCATTTGGTTAGCTCTCTTTTTGCATTATGTAATTCCTGGGGCGCACCAAATCATCCCCTGTGTGTTCCTCCCTCCACCTTTCTGGTCTCCTGTCTATCTCTTTGATGAGGGTAGGATCATTCTGGTTTGGTCCATTTCCAGCATGCTGGGAACTCACCGAAAGTGAACCTTCTTGCTGTTCAAGACCCGGTAGGAATTTCTCATATCCTGAAGTGGCTCGCTTATGAAGCCGGACACTTCAGGATATGAGAAATTCCTACTAGAAGGAGCTAGACCAAAATAAGGTTGCTTGGAGTTCTGATACACTCTTTGGACACCAGGATCACACCAAATGGCATCACACATATTTATTTATTCAATTTATTTATTTATTTATTTATTCAATTTATATGCCGCCCACACTACCCAGAGGTCTTGACTCCAGGTGACCCTAAAGAGCCCATTGGATTGGGCCCCAAGTATCCCTACCATGATGCTGAGTGTTGGTTCTTCCTTCAGATCATTGCACGAGATGAGGAGTCTGGGGAGACCACCAACACGACAGTCCATGTGGAGGTGCTGAGACCTGGCGAAACAGGTATGCCAGGGAGGGGTGTGTGATATGGACAGGTTGGCCTCCTTTGCCCATTGTCTCAGTGGGAATGCCTGGGTGCATTGGTCTGCAACAGAAAGCCAAAGGGACACAAAAATAGTCCCCAGTGCCCTTATTCTGCATGTGCATACACAGAAGCTGCCATCCATTCTGTTTATATCGTGCATGAAGCACATTTAAATTCTGCAATCTAGGTTCTGCAACGTTTTCCTTTATTCTGCACATTAGGGGTGTGCAGTTGTTGTCTGTCTGCAGCAGGATTAGGCCTGGGTGGGCCAGTTTGATATCAAGGAGTTCCACATCCTGTACCATGATTCCTCAAGTAAAGGATGCAGATAGGCGAGGTGTCCTTCAACCACTTTGTGCCTTTATCTGGTTCAGATCCACCCCCTCTGCCCTTTGCCTGTACTTCTTTCAGTCCATAGAGATTCTGACATTTGCTTTCTTGGAGGTACTTTATCCTTTGGGGGATGGACATACCTCACACCCTTCTGCTAGAGACATACATCCCTGCCTTATTTTAATCTTGTATAGTCAGTGATATTTATTTATATATTTTTTGCACATTTCTGATAATTGTGAATTGTCAGAAGATGTCGGTCCAGTGTGGCCTTCTTCTTGTATAGTCAGTGATATTTATTTATATATATCTTTTTGCACATTTCTTATAATTGTGAATCATCAGAAGATGTCGGTCCAGTGTGGCCTTCTTGTGGGAAACTAGCAAAATCATCAGCCTTGGATGGCTTGTTTGTGTCTTTGCGATCCATCAGCACCTCAGCTGTGGAACGTGCTCCCCTTAGAGGCTCTGCTGGCACTAACGTTGCTTTCATTTTGGTTCCAGTTTGAAACATAGGTTTTGACCAGATCTGTTGGGGTTTAAAGGTCTTGGCTGCTGTAGGTGGTGGTATGCTCTTGAATCTGGAGGGTTTCAAACCCCTAAAATTATTTTCAAATTCTTTTAATGATGTTCTGTGCTTTAAACTGTTCCATTCTTCTTTTAAACCCCTTACCCTGAGGTGTCATGGCACTGTGCAGGCAGGACACACTCAAAATACAAAACCTGAATGAATGGCTGGAATCCTATTGGTGATTTAGACTTGCGGAAGGAAACGGCGTAATTCTTGGTGGCAAATTGTTACTCATTAACAGGATGCTGGTTTTGTTCCTGGCCTTGCGACTAGGCACAAGGCCTGGTCAACCAGCCCCTTGTTAATGAGGGGCAATTTGCTTCTAAGACTTGCACATTTCCCTAACGAATCTATACCAATGGTTAGTAGGATTCGAGCCAATGAATTTCCCTCTACTTGCTCCTAATTTCCATCTACTTGCTTCTAAGACTTGCGCATTTGCCTAACAAGAATCTATACCAATGGCTAGTAGGATTCGAGCCAATGAATTTCCCTCTACGGCTCATACCACGGGCTGAGAGGTTCACTCTTTCCTCTCTCCTCCTTCTTTTGGACAGTCCCCATGGACCCTCTGGAGGCGGAACACCAGGGTGCGCTGGACTCCGGGGTCCTCGCCGGTGGCCTGGGGGCACTGCTGTTGGTGACGGCCATTGCCCTCTTCCTCATCTTGCGCACCATGAAGAAGAGGCAACGGCACCAGCAGAACATGGAGAGAGCGGCTTTAGCCATGGAGAAGCATCCAAATGTGGTAAGCGGGGACTGGCCGGAGAGCTTGCTTCTAGGGGACGTGGCTGGAGGGGGCGTCACAGCCGCTCAGGAGGAGCTGTGGCTGAACCGAGATGTCTTTGCCTTCTTGAATGTCCCTTAGAGCCACTTTACACACATACACAGGCAACACACATGACCCAAGGCTACGACTCTAACTAGGATGGACGAACGGGGCAGGCTTTCCAAAGGCCAGCAAAATCTAGTCCTGAATCTGCAGAGATCATTGGAAAAATAAAGATCAATGCCTCCCAAACCTATTCACCCCCCCTTTTTTTGAAAGAGTCAACTTCCTTTTTCTTACTTGAAGAGGCCATGGCTGCCTCTGCTGAAAAAGGACTTCATGTGGTTATGTGCAAACTTTGGCTGTGCTGTTTTATGAACTGTGGCAGCTGCTTTGCCCATGTCAGCGGGGCCTTGGCATTACACGTGAGCATGCGATGAACATGCCTAGATGTATGATTTCTCATCCATTGCCGTGGTGGGCAAACTCTACTGGTTTGGGGGGGGCTGCGCAACCCCATCCCTGGACCTTTGAAGGGCTATGCGCCCTCCCAGCACCCCAGAAAAAAGTAGGTTAAGACACACCCTATGATTTTTACTAGGGAAAGGAATTTTGGATTTTCTGGCCCGGAAATCCCACAATTCTCCATTCTGGGAGTTCTGTCTACCTTACAGGCATCTTACAAACACCTAAATGTGGCTCGCCTGGGAGAAAGGCCTAAACTGGGTAACTTTTAGGCCGAGCTCCACCCTAGCTTCCTGGTAAGAAAGAAAGCTCCCAGCGTGCACTGGGGCAGGAACAGGAAGCTTAGGTAGAACGAGGCCGAGCTCAGCCTCAAAGCCTTCTTGTTTAGGCCTTTTTCTCCCAGGTGCATTTTTTTTTAAAAAAAATTGAAAATGTCTCCCACCTCTGATAGCCATTCATATACAGATCTATATCTCAACATTTAAAAAGATTGTCTTGGGCTTTGGAGAGCCCCCAGTGTACTGGGGGCCCCTGTCAGAAATGTAAAAATATCTTCTCATATTCCCTTCAGAACATCATAGAACGTTGGTTTAAAATGTTATAGAAAATTGAGGGGATGTGGGGTTCTGTGGATCGCAGGATTTCAAGCAGGGAAACATCCGGGGCCCTGGGGGCGGGCTGAGTTTTGCCTGCGGGCTACATGTTGCCGACCCTTTTGCTCCATCACGTGAGGAATACAAAGCCATTTCTCAAGTCTTGCCTCCAGGATAGGGAGGTCATTTCTGGGTGTGATGGATTCCATGGACTCAGAGACACTTTCCTGGATGATTCTGCTCACCTTGTATGCTGATTTCTAACACTCCATTTAAGAGATCCCTAGATGCCATAGGGGAAGGCATGGGGTTAGGGTGAACCCCTGCCTCCCAGTTTTGGACTTCTTTTTTGTGAACCCAGCTGTACGGGTAACAAAAACGAGACAAACACATTGTCGAATCTGTTCAGATAATTGGGTTGGTTTTGGTTAGGGTCAACTGCAGTGAGATCAGAAAGACAGATGCAAAAATACGGGTCAGCCTAATAAATCCATCCAGAACTCAATAGACATACAGAGGAGCAGGAAGCAAAAACTATGGAAAGAGCCATCTTCTTTAGCTACCTCCTGTATTTGCCATCAGGCGTGCTGATGATCACCTTGCTTGGACCAACGACAGGGGAGTCTGGAAATGTAACATTAAAAGCAAAAAAAGAATCATAGAGGTAGCCAGCCATAACAATGCAGAGGGACAAAACTGACCCTAGCAATAAGAAGCAGGTAAGAGCTCTTGCTTTGGACCAGACCAAAAGTGAAAGTGAGAGGATAAGGTGGATTATAAGGCCTGGGTCCTACCAAAAGGTGTTGGGAAGAATCAGGGGGCTCAGAGCCCGGTCTTCGTCTCAAGCTTCACTATAAACAGGCATCAGAGCCCATGAAACAAAGGGATGAAATACTGTCCCGCTTCACCTTTCCATCCTGCTTTTTGGTGGATGGCTTGGAAACACTGAGTGCCGAGCCTGCATTGATTTCTCCATTCATCACCCCCATCATTCATTCATTCATTCATTCATTCATTCATTCATTCATTCATTCATTCATTCATCTAAAACAGGACCCTTTCCAACATTTTCTTTGGCTGACAAGGTGGGTGAGGAGAGTGACGGGGCAAGAGTTACCCAATAAACCCCCCCAGGAACAATGGGCGATTGCTCTCAAGGTGCAGAGAAGGTTTTCCTTTGAGGGTCACCAACTGTCCCCATCCGCAGCACAACCCTTCGAAAGAAAGAGATGTGTGCAGTCGGCTTAAGTGAGCCTCCCCTGCTTTTAAATGTGGCATGTTCAGTCTTCAACCCTGCTTTCCTTAGGTCGTCCGAGTGGCCAGCCCGTCTGTTCTCCTTCTTTCCTTTCCTCGGTCCCCGTGTTCCATCCTTGGTAGTCATTGGGCCATCCTCCTCCCTCAAACCCTGATCCTCTGGCCCTCATCTCCCCCAGCCTGATCCTCTCCCATCATCTAGGAATGGGGGAAACTGTCCCAATTCACAGAAACGATGGGAGGCTTCATTTCGGAAATCCTGCCTTATTCTCAGCACTGTTTTGTTTTTTTGTTTTTTTGTGAATGCCACCCAGCCCTTTTTTTGAAAAATGATTTTGTGAAGACCTACACCTGGAGAAGCTTAAATAAAGGATGCAAGGAAAAGGCTGGGTGGTCCCCAAAGGCGACACAATGTAAGAGTGGGTGATACCTGTGGTTCGTTGTTATATGGTTATTACATTTACTCCTTTGATCGCGCCTTTTATTGTGAACCAACCCTGAGTCATGCTGTGGCCCTCGTGGGAGTGGTCTGTTCAATGGAAGCAAAACGACAGACCTTTTATTTGGTTTTTAGCCGTACATACAACAAAAGGTATCGCCCACTCTTACCTTAAATAAAAGAGAGGCTTCCGTCTGATGGCAAGCGAGGGGTGGATGTTTGATCCCAGAGGAAAAGGGCACCTTGCTGGGGGTGCAGAGCTTCCTGAAAGCGGTCCTTCCTCATCGGGGAATCACTCCTCAAAAAGTACCCCCCCCCTCACTGCAGGACCAAAAAGAAGTCCGGCTTGGGCACGGATCATAGTCAGGCTTGAGCACATTTCCCCATATGTTGTGGGATCACTGGGGGCGGGCGGGAGGAAGTTGCACTGGGCCGCTCCAGAAGCAGTCGAAAATGTCCTCAGTTTCCTCATGTGGTCCCCCCCCCCAGAGTCGTCTTTGCCATTTTCTCCAAGGTGGCCCCTGATGTATTTAAATACCTGCTGTGCTCAGGACCACGTGGGAATCTCTTAACGCGGTCACGATGGTGACCTGTCACACCTCATCTTGGTTCTGAGCTAAGGGGGTGGTCTCCAGTTCTGCGGCTCTACCACTCCCATTAAGCCGAGGAACTTCATGACTATCGCTGGCTCCAGATGTTGTGGCCAGAGATGGGCACGAACACCCCCTCCCCTGGTTCAGCAGTTTGTCCGGGTTCATTTGCCGTCGGAATAGGTGTTTGGCGGTTCGGCACCTCGCCCCCTCCGGCAGGTGCCCGACTCAGAAGCAGCGTTTTGGCTTCCTCGCCCTGCCTCTCCCGGGTGCTGCTTCAAACTGGGCAGAAGAAGAGCGTTTGCCACTAGCTGGACAGGGGGTGGGAAAATAATCTGCCGGCCCAGATGTCAGTGGTTCTCATGGTCCAATCCCCCACTGGGCCTCCTGGGGGAGAACCGCCAGCCTGGGTGGCTTTGGGCCAGCTGCTCAGAGTTCCCAGGGTGACCCTCGAAGAAAGGATGGGGAAACCACTAGAAAACCCTCAAAAGAGTTGCCACAGACCAGAATTGACTTGAGAGCCCCTGATGATGATGATGATAGACATGAGACAGCTAAGGTGCCAGCTGCAGAGAACTGTCGCACATCACAGAGTTTGGAGACGAGTGTTTCCGACACTCCGGCTGGGAGCGTACGTGTGCCTCTCTTGCACTTACCTCTTTGGGTTGTGTCCTGCTTTTTTTTCTGGACGCTTCTGGAAGGAGTGAGAAGGATTTATATTAAGAAACACCAAACCCTCGTGTAGCTGCTAGGTCTCTGGGCCTTTGTTACGCAGCTGAGTGGGTGCAGGGCAGCATTGCAAACGGAGACGGAAGGGACCAGTCCCTTCCAGGGATGGTGGGCGACCCACCAACTCGAGAGCTTTGGAGGGAGAGTTTTCCTTCCCTCGACCAGGATCCCCGGCACTCACTTCTCATCATGCAAAAAAGTCCCTGCTGCTCCCATCACCCACGTGTGGTTCACACTCTGCTCCGCTGAATCTCGTGGAGAGAGGCGTGGAGTGGAACAGACCTCAGGTTAAGAGAGTCAGGTATCCATCAGGAGAGACAGGTGGGCCTGGCTTTCTCCTCCCTTCCCAGGTGACTCTTTGCTCAGGTGTTCTGTGGGACTCCATGTTTCCACCATCTCAATCTGATTTTGCAAACCCTTGGCCCCCAACCCCTTTTATAATCGACAGTGTCCAGTCCAGAGACCATGTCAGGGCCTGTCCATACAGTACTGGATGCAAGCCCAAGTTTGTGATGTGGAGAAAATAATCCTTCCTCGATAATAATGAGGAAATCTGCACGAGGCAAATTGCTTCTCTAACTCCGCCGTCACGTTTTAACGTTGTTTTCAACCCGGTAAAATTGAACCCTAGGGACTTGTGCTCTGTTTAAAAGGATAAATAAATCAAATCCACAGGGGGTCTTTTTAGGTGCCCAGCTAGGACGTTTCGAGAAGTCTTTCCTTGAAATATCCTGTGTGGATCTGGCCAACATTTTTTAATTGGAGGTGAGCCTTATGCGAGAGCCCTTCTCTGCTCTGAGCAAACGGGCGTATTACTGGCACGCTTTGAACGTACCATTGATTCTTTGGCATGGATTTGGGCCACGGTAAAAAGGATCGCAAGGTTGCTGTGACCAGTTTGAAGTCCAATGAGAACTGGACCCGTCCTGACAACCGTTCCCAGTTAGGTTCCAGCAGGGTTCTCGCCCATCATCCTCTAAGCCGACGAGTCTGTGTACCCACATAGTAGACATTGGCAGTTTCTTGGCTATTGGGATGGACGCCGAGTGACCCATCATTGAACCCATCGCTTGATTTGTAGAGATTGTCCGAAGGCAGTCATGAAAGCCACCCCTGGTCAAGCTGAAGGGGGGGTCACCCTTCTTCTTATGTGTCTGTGCCGTGTTTCTGTTTACGCCTGTTCTCACGCCTTTTCCTTCTCTCTCTCTCTCTCTCTCTCTCTCTGGCTTCCTCTCCCACCTCTCGCTCTCGGCTCGCCCTGCCATCTGACAGAGCTTAAAATGGTTCCAGCCGGTGAGTGTCCAGAGGGGAGGGAATGGGGGCAGTGGGGGTTACGGGGATAAGCCATAGACTCCCCTGCCACCCCCACCCCAGCATCCTTGTAGGTCCAAGCAGAGACGGCTTAGGTTGGTACGTCGCTGCCTTCAGCAGAGAGAGGCCAGCAGGACCTGGGTGATAGTTATGCTCCCCGTGGGGAGTTCCCAGACCAGCAAAGCCACCCCGAATTTGCCATGGCAAGGCCAGGTGGCTAAAAACTACCAAGGGAGCCACACATGATCCTCCTCTACATTGGTCACAATCCATAGCGAAATGCCGTTGAGCACACTCCCTTCTCAAGCATGGCACTTATGCTGGGTAACCTTGCTTGCTTTCTTCGTGAAAACCAAGATGAGTCGGAAGGACCTCATGCCGTGGGTAAGAACACCCTGAACGGATCCCGCATCATAATCGTAGAGGGTGTAGCTCTGTGAAACAGCGTGCAGCCTGCAGGTGTACAGTTGCAGATTCAACCGCTGGCATTTCCAGCCTTTTTTTAAAGACAGGTCTAGTGAAGAGCCTCCGCTGGTCACTGCAGGCAAGATTGGCGGTGCCAGTTGGCAGAGGATATATCCCATTCCCCTATTCCATGTATCCAGTGCTTCACCACACAAACTGTGAGAATATCCCCACCAGCTTATGGAATGAGGAAGAAGACAACACACGGTATTTTTCCGTGTATAAGACTCCTCCATGTATAAGATGCCCCCCACTTTTCTAATCCAAAATTAAGAAAAATAAGTGAGGCTTAGCAAGTGTAGGAAGAAAGGGATCAAATTGCTGCAGGATCGCTTTGATCCCTGTTTTCCCCTCCGCTTGTTTTTGTTCTCTCCTCAGCTTACTTCTGTGTATAAGACGGCCCTCAATTTTTAGTCTAAAGATTTCAGACAAAACTACAGTCTTATACACAGAAAAATATGGTATGTGCCTTGTGGTGCAGTGGTTAAACTGCAGTACTGCAGTTACGACTCTGCTCACAACCTGAGTTCGATCCCTTAGGGGCTCAGGTAGCCGGCTCAAGTTTGACTCAGCCGTCCATCCTTCTGAGGTCAGTAAGTTGAGTACCCAGCTCACTGGGACAAGTTGCTGTGTGCACAATTATATTGTAAGCCTCCCAAAGAGTGCTTCGAGCACTATGGGGTGATATACAAGCAGCATGCTTTCCTATTTCACTGTTTGATTTAAGCGCTGTGTGCACAATTATGTTGTAAGCCTCCCAAAGAGTGCTTTGAGCACTATGGGGTGATATTCAAGCAGCCTGCTTTCCTATTTCACTGTTTGATTTAAGCCCCATTGAAAACAAGGAGGCTGAACTCTGGCTTGCTCAGGAAACCTCATGTGTGGAGTATCATGCTCTGTCTACTCTTACCATGACGCAACCCATAAATTGCTATCCATTTGCATCCATTTCTGTTGCAGTCATCCCAAAGCAGGATTCTTGTCTCCCCTCCTCCATACATTATCCTCTCAACGATCCTGCTAGGTGGGCCAGGCTCCAAAAGAATGCAATTGGTCCAAAGTCAGCCACTGAACTTCATAGCTGAGCAGGGCTTCGAACTGCCCCCCCTTCACTGCCACTAAGGCCTGCTATGCCAGTGGTCCTACATGGTACGTGGAAAAGTCATCTCCGACAACCCCCAGGATCTACCAGCCCTTGATTCTGGAAGTTTTGATTCAAACAAATATCATTTCTAAAGCTCTGGGTCAGACTCGGAGTGTGAGGATACAGCAGGAAAAAAAATGCAAAGTGATCCATTGTGAAATGGCACCCAGGAGAAGTCATGTCTCTCCAAATAAATTCACTTTAGCAGATCATGCCTTAGTCAGTCAGCAAAGAGAGTGGAGGAAATTGTGAACGAGGACTTGTTAAGGTGGCTCAGCTGTGTCCCTTCATATTTCCAGTGGCTACAGCTCCCTCTGGGCTCCCTTAGTAAGTTGCAAACAAGGACTGGCTGCCAATTTCCTCTTCCCTGATTATTTTTTCCTTGCTCGCTCCCCCCCCCCTTTTTTTGGTTTTTAGATGGTCTAGGGCACCAATGCTAGTATCCACCCTTTGGAATAAACAAACAAACAAACAAACAAACAAACAAACAAACAAACAAACAAACAAATAAATAAATAAATA